CTTTGTTTTTAAGTCCAATTACTGTATATACATATCAAATGAACACCTCCTGTGGTTGGTTTGCTTGGTGTTTGTTCAGAATACCTTTATTCATCCCACAGAAGGGACATTTACAGTTGTTACAGTAAAGAGCCAAAGATAGCTTAATATCTCTCAAGAGGAAAATCTTGAAGTCTTGAATGGTAGAAACTCCATTTTATATGCGAATAAAGACATTTCCCTGTATTCTTTCAAATTATAGTGTTTCAATACAGCCTTAATTTAAATTATGATGAATTGAATATATTTCAAATAATTATTTTATAAGTTTAATGTAATGTTCTTCTATTTTATTTTTCTGCTTCTTTTTTTTTAACATGCTTTATTTTTTTAAATGTAATTTCCTCTTTAATAATTCATTTTGTGTTATGCACCAAAACACCAAAGAAAATTCAAATGAAGTATGTGAAAACCTACTTTGCAATGAGCCGGATTGTGAATCTGATCAAAATGAAATAAAGTGTGAAGGACAACTTGCGACATGATCACTTTTGGTTCAATAATGAAGTCGTCTACATCCCTCCATATGTTCTGGGAATGACCGCCTGTTGCTCGTTTTTGGAACGGGGTCTCCTCTAAGTTGTCCGACATATTTTCTTTGACTGTACCTGTATCTGTGTCTGTTTTTCTTTTGAATGACTTATCTCAACTGCTACTGGGTACCAGAAAAGACCTCTCTATGCTGGCCTTACGGCTGCCAAGAAATTGGTTGCTATGAGATGGAAACAACCCGACAAGCTCTCAGTGACCTACTAGTTACTAACGTTTCTTGACGTAGTCTACATGGAACTGTCCACTGCACGCGTGATTGGAGTTAAGGAGTCCAATATCGGTTTATGGGTGTCGACAGCTGAACAATTGAAGGAGCGGATCAAGCAATCTTAACTGATATAGTTGTTTGCAGTGATTGGTCCTGAGGTCCTGGGATTGGGGGTGGGAGGGTTTATTTTTATCCTTAGTTTTGTCCTCTTGTCTGATTGTTGTTATTGTTTATTTTTTCTGTATTTTTTGTAATTTGTGTTGTGATTGTACATTGTATTTTTCTAAATGTGTGTGAATAAAAACATTTGATAAAAATAATGAAGTCGTCTTTCCCCCAGTATTCCCTCTTTCTTGTTGTATATGGTTGTTTTATATTTTCAGCTTCTGTACTGGTAGGTATTTGTTTTGAATGTGTGAGAGCATTGAAATATGTAAAATAATAAAGAAAACATATCTAAAACAAACAAATCTCTTGTATGCAATTTGATTTAAAGTGGACCTATCATGCTATATTTGAATAATATAGTGTAGGACCATACCTATATAAGGCATATTTATACTTTTTTTTTTTTCCAAAATACCAAACAGATCATGCATTTTAGCCATGCCTCATTTCGCTCAATTTGAAATATTCTAGCTCTGTTTTTGCAAGGGCAGATTATGTGAGAACAGCACCATCTACAGGCCTGGCATATGTACTACAGCGTCTCCAGGGCTTTCGAACGGCAATGGCCGTGGCTGTCTCCTCCTGATTGGTGGAGTTGGCCCAATAGCCGTAGCGCCACCGTCCTGACGTCAGGACAGTGTTCAAATCTGGATCAGTTTTTATCAGATCCGTTGCAGCCCCTTTTTTAGAGATTTGGGTATGGAGGAAAATAGAGAGGGTTGTGTTTTCTGACACTTGGTGAGTTCCCTGGAACACCGGGGACACATATTCATGTATAAAAGACGTACAAAAGTGCATTTTGCATGATAGGTTAGCTTTAAGTAAAGGACAAAATTGATACGTTTTAAAGGCATCCATATATACAGTTGTTCTGAAACTCCAGTATTCACTATAAATACCATTGTGATTTTAGCTATCATGATCATTTCCAAATCACAGGGAGAAAGGAACAGATGGAGGCAAGTTTGCATTCCCGAGCATTTTGATAGAACAAGACACCAGATGCTTTGCTTTTATTTGTGCGTGTTCGATCGGTCCTTTGGAGGTATGGTAGCCCGGACAGGACAAAGAGCCAAGGCCAAATATCTTGGCTTTGTAGGGACAACAGCTGTGAGGAACAAACCAGGAAGTGGCTCCACTTCATTAAAGACCCAGCAGGAGAGCAGCAGAGCTTTTTTCTAGCTCTCCTCCCACTCTCTCCATCACTCCACTCCTCCCTCCGGTCTGTCAGTTCATACATAATACACGCCTTTCCTGGCTAATGTTGGTTAGCAGCACAACATGTCTGCATCCCACTGCAATGACAAATGTGTTCATATCATCCCATTTTTATGTTGTTGTAAAAACCTTTGTTTCACATTTCAGTAATACAAAAAAATGCCCTTTGTATGATATTTAGGCCTAATAATATCAACTTTGCCTCACAATGACATGTCAAGGACTAAGATATTGTCAAATTGTCTCATAGATAGATAATAGTAAACATACGAGTCCAACACTCTATTGAAATAGAAACAGCAATTATATTAACTCATGATAGAGCAAAGTGAACGGCTCATAAAGGGAATAAAGTATAAAAAATGAAAATATCAAATGTTTTCCTTCAAAACTGTGCATAGGTTGACGATCTAAGAGTATCACATCTTTCCAATTGTTTTACCCTCACAGTTATCTCACCAGCTGTTGTTTGTGTGTGTATTTCTGATTCTTAGCTAAAGAGGTTTGTAACAAGCTTTGTGACTTCTAAGCTCTTCTGATCTGATCCTCCTTCAGTGAGAAAGTGTTCTCCGCTGCTCTCCAGCAGCAGCTACACTAATCTTCCCCACAGCAGATCCCTGCAGCTTGTGTTTGTGAGTAATCTCTCAGTTTAGTTCCAGGTAAATTGAGTTTTTCTCTTCCTCATCTCACACCCTAATGGACACATGAACACAACTGACAAGTCATCCCCGGGCAGCCAAGTCCAAAACCCACACACACACACTTGTTATGTCCTCTAGGCATCACAGGCCCCTCAGTACTAGCCGCTCACTTCATGATTTGCTCGTTCAGTGAGTGATGGACAGATCCCCCCTCAGCACCACAAAAGAAAACACCTGTTAGAATCTGCTTAATCCTAGCCAGCGGCTCTGCACTTGGGGCCCTCGTCTAATCCGCACAGAGGCACCAGGCCAAGGCCGGGACAGATTAGACCCCCAGAAGCCATCTATCCATCCATGCACACACACACCTCCGAGTCTCCGGAGTGTTTGAATCGGCCCCTTAATCCTCGGACTCGGCGCCCTACGCCCAGCACCCCCCCCCCCCCCCCCCCCCCCCCCCCCCCCCCCCCGCCCCCCAACACAGACCTAATCTCCATGCTACCCCTTCACACACCCGTAGACCTCGCCCTGCCCAGCAATCACTTACCCCCCCACACACTCCTCCACCTCCCATCCCCACCCTCGTTATGGCTGAAAGCCTATTGATTTGTTGATTTCTCTTCTTTTGTCTGCTTCCGGCCGAGTGTGAACGGGACATCCAGGGTCCGGGGCCCAGTGCCAGGACTTTTGGCATGGGAGATTAAGGTCCTGATCTGGGCATCTGTCACTGCCCAGTCCCCCTTCTCCCTTGTGGCTCTGGCAGAGGCCTTTTGCTTAATTTCAAACCCAGGCCTGCTGAATCACATAGTTCAAACCAAGGCCAACATACTTTCCTGTTTGCCTCAACCTTTTATCATTTCAAATAATTATACCTTATTTTTACAGAATTGTCTCTTTTATTAATTTATTTTATACTTGTCTTATTTATATTACTGTTTTAGTTGCAAATGTATGTCATTTTATTGTATTATTGTTTATTTTGCACTTTGTCTTGATGCTTAATGTTTGTGTTCAGAATAGGACAGTGGTGAAGTCAAAGTGTCCTTCGACTACAAAGTGAAATCAGTTCTTTGGTCGTGTGTGGCATATAGGAAGAGATTCCTAAGATGCCGCATGTACAAAGATGACACACATGTACGTGTGTGGACATGTACCAACAAAAAAATATATAATTCCTCTGGCCTAGGCTTTCACCAGTACATAAGAAAACATTTATTCAATAACAATCTCGCGAAAAAAAATTAAATACTGACTACCTCAAAGCAAATGTTGCATTTATGTATTAACAACTTTGACAGAATGGGGCATTATGAAATAAAGAGAAGTCTAAAATCTGAATATGATGTTGTATAGGTTATTTAATTCAGTAACGGATGCTCACATATGGTTTGGATCTCTTACTTTACCAATTCCATTAAAATTGTAAAATATTAATATGTAAACTACTTAAATAAAACAAACAATACCAACATCGCAGAACCCATGAAATATGTGTACATATTGTTAAAGTCACCCAGGAGTCACAGTATGTGCAAACCACTGGCTCACAGATACTGTGTCTCCATCTAGTGGTGAGGAAGTAGAAGTATCTAGATTTTCCTCAAGTCAAGGAGGCTTAATGCATTCTGTAGCTTATCTTATAACAAACAAACTTTATGTTTGTGTTATTGCTATTCATATGAGATTGTGCACTACAAAATGAACTTAACATAAAATAACTGATTAACTGCAGACAACACTTGGAAATAAAGGGTCCACTTCAGAACTGCTTTGGAGAATAAAATGCATTTTGATTGGGTCATACAATGATAATAATTGTTTGATAATGATGGCAATAAACACATTTAATTTTTTTTAATGAAGTACAGAATTAGCACAATGGTTTGACTAAAAGTTTACTTTAAATAGCCTAATTGCTTTCTTTGATGCTCCACTCATAAACTCTTGTTGACAGGGAAGTATTCCTTTAACTGTACTTGAGACCATCACAGCAGGAGTTACATCAAATATGTTGAAAGTTTACAGCGCCATCTGGTGGTTGAACGTGCTTATTTTGTAGATTGACATACTGTATTAATTAAAAGCAAAATCATTAAATAAGAGCAAAATATTAATGTGTTATAAAATATAAATATATAATCCAGAACACATGAGGCATTAAAAAAACAAAATGGTTTGGGGTTTGTATGGCTTTTATTGAATAAGGCACATAAGTAAGGCCTTTTTTTTATGACATTGGAGTAAAACAATTTTAACTATAAAAGAAGCCAAACATTCGCATGGTCATTTTTAAATTCTTCTCAGTATAAAAATAACACGTTTAGCTTGATAACTATATAGTTCAACCCTCCTGTTATCCTCAGATTGACTTTACACCCTTTATCCTCTGGGGTCAATTTGACCCCAGGAGTTTAAAACTCAAGACAATGATCATATTCCACATTTTAACCAACATGTATGTCTCTGGTGCTTTAGGTATCTTAGTTGACTACCTAAATAACCATTTAAATAAAACATTACCCCAACCTTCCCCCCCACAGACCCCTTTATACATCCAGAATGTGACTATCGAAAAATATATAAATCACCATAAAATCTCACTGATTGAAATACAATGTTAAATAAGATCTTTTTGATGTTGTTAAAGGACCAATAACTAAAGCAGAGGGTATTCTTTTTTACAATGATACATTTGCATGTAACAGTCACCTCAATATCATCCTACACAATCAACACAAATATGTGTAAAATATTGAAATTTTTACATGTTTTAAACTACTAAAACAGCCTGGGGTCAAATTGACCCCAAGGAACACCGATGCGTACAAAGTGCGTACAGGACATTTAAAAAAGATCTTCATGTTCATTTTATGTTTACCCATTAGTCCTCACTAAATTAGGAAAAATCATGAAATACTAACAAAAAAAATAATGTGAACCATGGACCCCAAGGATAACAGGAGGGTTAAAAAAAAAGTGTACTGCATTTGAACTGCAACAAAGTAAAACAGCTCACCAAAAGGGAACAACCCGAACTGTTGTGACAACAAACCAGCAAGCTCATCTTTCAACACCACCGCTACGACTTTAACTCGTTCACATCCAGCCAACAGCTTTGGACGAAGAATTGACAAAAATACTGATCTCATCTTGACAACATGCTTAAACTAAAATGTAGAATTTAGATGCAGTATTTTGAGACACAAGAAACATAGTAAAGCTATTTCAAAAGGTTCCTTCAGAAGAAAGAAACGTTGATATTTTTGGTCTTATGTCACAAATGTCATGGAAATGGGAAATGTGTTGTGTTACATGTTAAAGAAGAGATTAAAATACCTGGAAAGTGCTGTTATACGGATAAGATATGATTGTCAACACGTGCACAATTTGCATGTACAAAGGTTCATTCCCATGTACCTCAATGTGAACTTTAAGTTGAGCAGAAGCTGAAGGTTTCCCGCGCTGGGACTCCTGACTGGATCCACTAGTTGGAGATGAGATTGTCACATGGCAGCAGCGGGCTGACACCGACTCTCTTGGCACATTCGTTCTGAAAAAATAAAAAAGGCATAAAGAAGTCCAGTTAGTTAAATCTGAAAGCTCTTTGAAGATGTAAATGGACATTTTGCAAACAACTTCTGAGACTCAGACATTAGTAAATTGATTCAATCGCAATTCTGTATTGTTTCAGTTAGCAGCCACTTTTATTTTGTATAACAACTGGAAGAAGGGAAAAAAGTTGGCCTGTTTATATCCTGTCAGTAAAAAACCTGAAGTTGAAACATTTTAACTTGTGTTTTTACGTTGGGGTTACGTGTCAGAAAACGTATTGGAGAGGAAAGGCAAAGGTACGTCTTGTTAAGGAGAGGTTGCCAGATCAGGAAATTATAAGAGCAATGTCTTCCAAAGTCTTTTTTTAATTTTTATTAAAATAGTAACAAATGATATATAACATGTAGGTCACTAGTAAGTAGAGTAACTGTGCATAGATCCAGGCAAGCTGTTTTCCTTCACTTGTAAGTCTTTAAACTAGGTTAAGCTTTCCAGTACTTGGTTGTTCACTTTATCTACATCATACAAACTATAGCTTTAAGAATATATAAGAGGAAGTCTTAATGGGTCACATCTGTTCCTGCATTTTCTAAGTAACGAATGGTGTGAGTAAAAGACAATATTACATAATTAAACCTTTTATTTGTTTTATGTCCTATATATATATTGATGTTGCACTGTTGGAGGAGCCTGTGACTTCAGTTTTTCATTGCCACATCGACACTGTAGCTAATGTACACATGACAATAAAGCTTTGAATCCTTGAAACCCTCTTAATTTGGACTAAAAAACAAACATTTTCAGTCCATATGTTCCAAGAGCTGGAGTGAATGTTTATTATATGTTTCAGATGAATTCTGTATTTAAAGGGGACCTATCATGCAAAATGCACTTTTGTACGTCTTTTATACATGAATATGTGTCCCCGGTGTTCCAGGGAACTCACCAAGTGTCAGAAAACACAACCCTCTCTATTTTCCTCCATACCCAAATCTCTAAAAAAGGGGCTGCAACGGATCTGATAAAAACTGATCCAGATTTGAACACTGTCCTGACGTCAGGACAGTGGCGCTACGGCTATTGGGCCAACTCCACCAATCAGGAGGAGACAGCCACGGCCATTGCCGTTCGAAAGCGCTGGAGACGCTGTAGTACATATGCCAGGCCTGTAGATGGTGCTGTTCTCACATAATCTGCCCTTGCAAAAACAGAGCTAAAAAATGTCAAATTGAGCAAAATGAGGCATGGCTAAAATGCATGATCTGTTTGGTATTTTGAAAAAAAAAAGGTATAAATATGCCTTATATAGGTATGGTCCTACACTATATTATTCAAATATAGCATGATAGGTCCACTTTAACATCTCTTACCATGTAGTTGACAACATTGATGTGGTAGGGGATCCCGCCCATCTCCTCACACTTCTTCATGTTCATCCTCTCTGGATCTCCAGCAGCCAAAACTGGACAGCTCGGGTCAGCCTGAAACAAACAGCAGCAGCAACATGAAGCTCAAAGCAACTGAAGCGCTTTTTTATTTTTTTATTTATCAGACTGAGCCTGCTTGCAATCATTGGACATCATCTACATGTGTTTCCTCCCTATGTACAGTGTTTATCAGCACAGCAGCAGGATCTACTTACAGGCTCCATCTCCCTCTGGATGGACAGGAGGTCTGACATCCTGTCGGCAAACCCGGGAGCAAAGTTCTCTGGGTTGATTGCAACGAAACACTGACCCTAAAACATAACAAAAAAGTGATGAGAACACAGCGAACTGAACCAATACAAACACAGAAAGAAACACAGAAAGAAGCGAGGAGATGTGATACGGCTTACGTCTCAATGTGTCTATCTTTTTAATTTGGGTTAACTTTCAATTCTCCGTAGTATGAGTATGTTTTACTGTATTTTTTGTGTTTTGCTTTCATTTTTTTCTTTTCTTTTTCTAATTGTTTTATTTTAACCTGTTTTAATTTCTTGTCAGCTTTCATTCAAGGGAATTTCATTAGGTAGAGGTTTTATCTTGTTCCGGCTTTATTTGAATATTATTTTGATATTGTTGTTGTGTTTTCTGAAAAGCACTTTGGGCTGCTTTGTGCATGAAAGGTGCTATACAAATAAAATGTATTATTATTATCTTGTAGATAATGGCTTTCAAAATGGTGTTACAAAACATAACACTTTTAAATAAATACACCGTCATGTTTCTTTGCTCTAAAAATATAATTTTACCTTCTTTGTTTCTGAAAAGCTATTCAGCTAAACATCACTGTATTGTAAAGCTTTCTCTCTTGGCAATAATTGAACATATTCATACTTCTGGTAGTTTAGCAACTTTGACTAGAGGAACACAATATATGAACAATATAACCCTAACCCTCATAAAAATAAATAAATACACAACATTTGAAGACTGTGTGCAAGTAAGTTTAAATACATTTTATGTCTGAAGTGGAAAATAATTCCGAATCAGTTATGATATATTTAAGCAATAGCTCACGACAGGCCGTGGTATATGGCCATTATATCACAGTTAAGGGGCGTGGTTCGGCCCGACGCGAAGCATCGGGCCGAACCACCTGCCTGCAGGCAGTTTGCTTTTCAGCCCAACTGTATACTGTTTATCTCAGACGCGGAGGGATACTGACTTGTTGTGAAAAGTAACTTACAATTCTACCAGTGGTATACGCTCAGTATACCACGGCTAAGAACCAATCAGATTGCTTGATTTGACTTGTCCGTTTTATAAAGCTTAATAATTTTCATGTTCTTTAAAACACAACACAAGTCAGAAGATTTTTCTGTTGCCGTCTGGCAGACGTTACCGCAGCATCCTGGCAAGGACAAGAAGATTCGGAGACAGTTTCTTCCCGCGGGCAGTGAGACTGTTAAAAAATTGAACTGTTGAAACAACTTCAAACATTCATCTGCTACTCAGTAATATGTATCTAATACCTAATATATATATATCATTCCAATAACTTGTATATAGACTCGTACTGCACTATTCCACATCATCACTTTATTTTATTTTATAACTATTATTCTTTTTGTATTGCTCTTGCTCTTATTGTTATTATGTTATTATGTTGCATTGTTGGAGAAGCCTGTGACATAAGATTTTCAACTACATAATTACTCTGTAGCTATGTCAGATTGACAATAAAGAACCTTGAACCTTGAGCCTTGAAAATATTACTAACTAACATACCAGGTTGGCAACACGGTCTGTTACTTTCCACGTCCGGACATGATTGCTGTACTGAGCACCGGCCAAAATACCACAGAACACTTCCACCATCATCCCCAGTCCATAGCCTTTGTACCCTCCTGATGAAACAACACAGATACACACTCTTTATTTGTTATCTTACATAGAGAGGTTGAATGCATCAACACTTTGGAACACAATACCAATACAGATAAGAAATAACACCTCCTATCATACATTTAACCACTATCCTAAGAACTGGCTTTTAAGCAATCAAAAATGTGAACACTTTTAACTGTATCATACTATGATAGTATTTAATCTGTTTGCATGTTTGTCTGTTCCTATTTATTGTTGTACTGTTGTTGTCTGTATTTTTTTTTATTATGTTTTTATTTTTCTAGTCTTGTTATGGTTATTTTAACATCTTGCCAAAAGGACAATAGTTGAAAATTAGCCTGCTGGCTAACACTGGCACGTTTACAGCAATGTTGATCAATGTACACTGTCCTTTAAATGAATAAACAAACAAAACAAACAAAAATGCAACAAATGTACTTTATCATATAAAGGGGTGTATCGTGCTGAAAAATGTTTGGTGCATGGACAACGTCTTCCCTGATTCTGTTATTCCTAGATATTTGAACTGATAAGATATAACAGAGGAAACATTTTCCGAGAAAACTGAAAGTACAGGATAGATAAATACACAATTTAAGGTAGGACTTGTGTTTCTTATGAGTGTGTTGTAAATGATTGAAGAATTGTTAAGTGTTCATTTGACTTAATGATGGTTGAAAACAGTATTGATTTTTGTTTCACATCTGTATTAGATTGGTACTCAAATGAGATGAGTTGTTTGTGTAGCTATAGTATATAAATGTGTGTTTGACTGTATATGTGGACCCAACAAATAATGCTGATGTTGGTTCTACAAGGGACCCTAATAAAAAGTAATATAAAAAAAAGTAATTGATCCTGGGATTTTCAAATTGTGTTTTTCAATTAAATGTAAGCACAGATTTCTGTCAGAAAATAGTGAAACATCAAGTTGAATTTGTTATCTGCACATAACTGACTCAATCAGAGTACAACTTTATTAGAAACCGTACAATTCTTGCTGATTGTGACATAAACTGTGTGTGAAAATTAGGAAGGAGGATGGATGACAGGAGGATTATTTCACCATATCTAACCGTAGACAGAACAAAATGAAAAAAGAAGGATGTTTCAGCAGACTTTTTTAGCCGCGTTCACACCGGAGTACTTTTCCCCGTACTTTTCGCGTTTAGTTCCGTTAGTACCCCTTATGTCGCGTTCACACCAAAAAGAGTACTTAGTGCCGGGAACTTTTACCCCCATTTTTAGTGCCTGCTGAGAGATGGTACTTTCCTGGGGGAAAAAAGTGCCCCAGTTCTGATTGGCTGGGCGAATTGCAAACCACGCCCCGTACAACTCTGAAATGTTTTGTAGAGCTGCCATTTTATTATCCTCGCATTAGCATTATTAGCATTAGCATTCGCCCAGCGCACAAACACAGAGAGACTAACTTATGGCAACACAAAATAAAACATGGGAGCGGTGGAGATGAGGAGGTGTCGGCGTTCTGGCGATTTACTCGGAAGGCTTCAGTAGCAGCTGCTGGGAGTCCCAGCAGCTGCTACTGAAGCCAGTCCTCAACTCCTCAACCTCGACTTCGGGTGGCAGTATACACCGTGAAGTTGTTTGCGGCCTGCCAGTAAACCCAAAGCAGAATAAGACGAAGTGACGTCAGCGGCTCATTTGCGTAATCTTCCCTCAGGGAATTTATTCCGGTGTGAACGCGATCTGTACTAAATGCCCTGGGGTAATAAGTGCCGGGGCACTAAGTACGGCAAAGTACTTGGTGTGAACGCGGCTCTTGTGTCTGACCTGTGGCCTCGCTGCCTCCGATGGGCACCAGCCCTCCTCCGCTCAGGACCCTCTTGGGGTCGGTGGTCAGTTTCCCCTGGGCGTCGCAGCCCCAGCCCTCAGGGATGGTGTCCCCCCGCCGCTCATGGAGCTCCACCTGAGCACCAAGAACATTTTGTAAGAAGACTTTAAGTATGTGGCATTTTAAGACCACAGTTACAAAGTACTGTACTTGTCAAGCGCAAATTATATGATAGAAAGTTCAACCAACATTTAATTCAGAGCTCTCTTTTGCCTCTTGTACAAAATCTATTTTCATTTTAGATATCTATTTACAGTAAATATCTCACACATGTGGCATTAGTATATGGCCCGGATCAAACTCCATTGGTCCAGGTAATGTCATATGACCTTGACAAAGTATGCAATCTTTTTCCTTAAAATAACCCTTTTTTTTATTTTAAAAACATTTAGTAAACTGAAGACCCCTGATAAAGATACATCATTTATGGATATGGATTATATTCATTGCACTAAAATAACAGTTAATTCATTATTAACTAAAATAGTGAATGCAATATCTACAGTTAGTTTGTGTAAAACTTAATTTTGGATGCGTTTTGAGTAGATTGTTGTTGTTGATGTTATGTTTAGGACTTTTTCAATGAAATCACAATACTTGGTCTGTCATTTCTTTTCAAACAATCAGACTACCTGATTTTAATAGGACACAGTGTTTTCTTCTCATGGTCACTGCCATTGTTCTGTTAGCTATTGGTGGTTTTTCCTGAGTTCCTTTTTTATTTTTAACCCTGGCTGTTTTTAGCAGAGAGAGAAGGCTTTATGAATGAGGCAGCATGTGTTCAGGTCTTTGCCGTGCTCTTATTGTGTGATGACGTTAAACAATAACATGTAACTTAAGCACTGTATAATAATCCAGAGTTTAAACTGTTTAATTTAGTTTACTTTACATACAGGATTGAAAACCTGAGATATAACTGTAAAAAAACAACAACATCCCATTACCTCAAGAAGGCCTTGCGACCCCACGTGAAGCTTGAAAGTATTCTATTCTATTATATTCTCTGTATAAACCTGATCTTACCTTTCCAAGAGCTACTGCTGATGTGGCCATGTCCAGAACAAAGCTGTCTCCATCTTTAGCCGGAGCGGCCACGCTGATGGGGTTGGTGCCCAAAGTGCACTACAAACATCAGGTTCACAGTATTAGGATCAGACAGAGCAGATGTTTATCAGCGCAGTAATACTTTATCAGTCTTATGGAGGTTAACACAGGGTAAAAGGTACAATGAAATGTATTGTACTAGAAAATGGGTCAGGTCAGCATTTAAAAGCACTGGTTGCAAAGGGCACAAGTCATATACAGATCGAATATGGCATGAAGTACAGTTTATTCAGTACAAAAAACATACATCTTTACCACGTGTGGGAACCACCAGTGGAGACGTGTTGGTGAAGGACATGCCCTGCATTGGCCAGATAAGACATACAATTAAAAACCGTTAAGAAAATCACCTTCATAATAAAGGATATTCAATGTAAATTCAATTCATGAAAGGTAGATAACCCTTTCACTCACAATCATGTTTTCCTTCAGAGCTTGCATTGAGTAATATCCAGCAATACCGTAATGGTTGGAACCTAAAACAGAAAAATGCCATGTAGAAAATATATATTCATTGTTGTTATTTAGAGAGATTTGTCGACCATTTTAGACTGGTAAAATTCTTCTTTGATGAACGGAAAATACATTGTATGTAAATCTATTTCCTGTTTGAACCTTTCCTGTAACAAACTTGGCAGTCAGACACTACAGTGGTTCTGGTTTCTCTTTTCTTGCACAAAATGTGCATGTTATATGAGCCAAACATGTCTAAACTACAAACCTTTTAATAGTTAAGACGATCCTTTACTCATGCCTGGTGTTGAATCAAATACAGACCTACATTTGAAACCTGAGCATGTTGTTGCATTCATTATGAACAGGTCTGAACAGGTTTTTCCAGTGGATACACGTTGGCTCTATCCAGTTTCATAATTATAAATGCAAGTTTCTACAGAACCTGACAAGTCCAGCAGACATAGCAGTTACGTTTTTAAAGAATAACCCTACAGTTACAGCAACAACTCACCGTGTGCCACCACCCAGCCGATGCCAGCTTCTTTGGCTTTCTTAATGGCCAGATTCATGCAGAAGTTTCCCACCACAGGACCCAGCAGGTTCTTCCCATCCACCAGAGCTGTGGCGGCGCTCTCCTTCTCCACCACCGGCTCACCGTCCTTGGCACAGATTCCTGTCTGGATGTCCTTAACGTACATGTCTGTTGAAACATATAGAGACAGTGAGCATAACAAATGTCAATACAGGCACTCACACAAGTAGACCTAAAATTATACAGTACCTTTTTTTAATTTATTCCTGGTATACGTAATACTGTACGTGCACAACATTTAACTAATGTGTAGGAGCCATATGTTAAAATGTATAATTTGATATATTATGTGTGTATATAGAGTGTAATCCTTTGTTATTAGTATTATTATATCATTTATTAAAACCATCCGTCGTAAAATTGACGTCATAGCCGACTGCAGCTGCTGGTAATTAGAAGTGAGAAGGAGAAAAGAATCACGGAGCAATATAGTTTTTTGACCTTTGAAAATATGTGTTTGTATTGATACCTATTGTTTAAGTAAAGAGTCAACCAAACTTTCCTGAGACGTATTTTTGTTGGAGTCAAGCTTATTGCTCCTTGTGGATATATGGATGTTTGGATTAGATGGAACTACATAATGCAATAATATTGGGTATTTAAAAGACAAATTACTAGAGTGACTTCAATTTAGAAAACTGCTATTGACCACCATTTTTTCCTTTAACACTAAAATTGTGCTGCCACCTTCAAAACAAGCAAACATGCAGATAGAGCAATAGATTTCTGGCACCCCACTGACCCATCCGGTTGAGTCCGTGGCTGTAGTGGCCCCTGTGGTCCCCCTCCACCAGCACCTCGGCCAGGCTGCGGGCGTGATGCTGCTTGGTGCCCACGCCCGTCATACACCTCTCGATGAAGCCTTGCACCTCCACCTTGCTGATCAGACATCTGCAAAGTGAACATTTCATTATCAGATGATTAGATCCTTGTTTGCTAATTTTAAACTATCACTCAGGTGGTGATGTCGTCAGTGTGCATGGTAAAACAGCAAATATGATAAATGTTGGATTTTGGAGTGTTAAAGAACTTTTGACAATAGTGCTTTGAAAATATTTTGAACAATAACTCAAAGCTAATGTCACTTTCAACTATACAATTAGAGGTTTAGGATTGTAAATACATGTTATTTGCGTTTCAATGTACGACTGCAGTGAAAATTGTGTTTAAGTTGGTTAATAAGTATGACAATAGGCTGTCTGCTCACTTTTTCATCTGATAGTGAATGGGAAATCTAATTTTACTGCACATAGAGCACGTAGGCTGATGTTTGTTCTGTGACTGAAACCAGATGAACAGAGAAAGAACAGCACAGTCTGTCTTTTGGCCTGAAAAGCAAACTGAAATCCAAACCTTTCGCAACACTAAAAGTCCTGTAGGGATGAACCCTTTAATGCCCCACATTTTGACAGAATGTTCCACTGTATGCTAATTCAAAGTTTGAAGTCCACATCTGCAATAGTGATGACACACCCTGTGACAATATAGAATGTAAATGAACGTGTAGGTCAGTAAAGCTCTTCCAGTATATCATTAAATTGTGTCTGCAAATCGAATACAGCTGAACAAATCTGATCCTAGAACCACTGTTTGCAAACTTTCTGTTGACTTTGCGAACAGGCAGGACGTTTTGTACCACATGATGTTTTGGAAAAACTGTCGTCCCTCCCCACAGAGTGTTACACTATAAGCACTGGAGACACTGTCTCTGTTGTTGTCACAGTTTATGTCATGTGACTTGCAGGAAACTGCAACGATTCCACAGAATGATTAACGATGTAAAATATGTATTAAATATCATAGCGTGGGGACTGGCTAAAAGAGGGTTATAACTAAAGTGGTCAGCCAAAACAAAACTATCAGTGTTATGCCTTGACTTCTAATATCTGACTTTTTAAAGCAGACAAGAGTTCCTTTGTTACTTCCTTATTTCATAAGAATTTGTTGGTGTATGATTTGAGCTGTCACATGATTTCCAAATGAATAACACAAGGTCCCTCCTTCAGCACCATATAAAAAGAGTTATAGCACGACTTTAGCAAAGTGAAGATCGTTGAATATAAGGAAAGTTCTGAAGAATATAAAAACATGCGCTCAGATATTTGAACACTGTATGCTTCTCCAAAAAACACAACTTTTGAGAACGGATTACAATAATAATTCAAAAGTTTACCTAAAAGATTGTCACAGGGTAATAATAAGTGCCGTGACTCACTATGATGAAACATGTTTGCATGAATAATCAGAACCAGATTAATTATATTATCATGCTTTCATTAACATTGTGAGAACTCATCGTTAATGTTTTTTAGACTGTAATACTTATAACACTAATAATAATAACTAATAACACATTACGTTCTACTTCCTGTCTTCCTTCTCTATTGTCCTTCTCATTCTCTACTCCTCCCTTGTTTCCTTCATTGTACTTTGGGGTATTTGGTGGTTAGAGAGTGGAAAGTTAAGGAATGCACCATCAGTGGGTCCAGATGTAAAATGTGGAGGAGTCTCACTTCCTCTCCAAATAACTGTGTTTTTCAAAAGGGCTGTTAAAGAAAATAACTGATGCAAGTCAGCTCTTTCGCTCCCCAGAGACAGTTGTGTTAGGGTTAAAATGATTAATCTCCTTTCCACTTCCAACTTAAACAGAATCCATTGCCAAAACTGCAGCATGAGATCCACTTTCTGTTTCCTCACTCTAGAGTTCATGTCTACAGTCTTAATGCATTGAGAAACCAGCTTAAATCAAGTTGTGACACAAACATGTGGTTTTTGTTTATGTGTGTGTAGACCCACACTTCACAGCCCCCCCAACACAATCCATCCCACCACTAACTGCAACAACATATCACAACTGTATGTCTATTTCCTTTTAAATCATCAAAACAACACACTGATTTCTAGCATTTTGCTGCCCTCAAAGCATGGAAAATGCTGCGAGTAAATCTCGTCTCTTTCATATTAAAATATCTTAACTTAACACCAGCTACCAAACAATACTTTTGATCTTTACCCTAGTATGTTTTAAGATAAGATAAGATAAGATGGTACTTTATTGATCCCAATTTGGGAAATGTTTGTGTTGCAGCAGCATAAAAAGACATGGCATTGTACAATAAAAATTCAAAGACTAAAAATAAACAAGAAAGAAGAAAATATACATGTTGAATTTAACCAGAGGCCTGTACTACGAAGCTGGATTTTCGCTTAGCCGGCTAACTTCAGGGAAATCTCGGGCTTTCCGGTCCTACGACGCTGGTTCTCTTTTTAGCAGGCTAGATTTCCATGGTAACTTATGCTGAGCGGCAAACCTGCTCCGGAGCAGGTTAGGTGGCAGGCTAAGAGATCAACTCAGTGAAAGCACTGCCTGCTGACCAATCAGAGCTCCGTGTGCGGAGTTTAAAGCGATCAAGTCATATTACAGGATAGAGGAAATACAGAAAAATTGCCGTTGCAGGAAAGACGGCCGGCCAAAATCAACTGACTGTGTGAACGTGAAAATTAATACAATATCCCCTCCCATCTTCAGAGCAATCTGACTATTATAATATTAGCGTTAAGAAAGCTTACTTAAATATCTGCCATGACATAAGTAACCGGATCAGAGTAACATTAAGTACAGTCCGCGGCACTGTGAGTGCAGACGTCGATGTGTCCCATTATCATTCATATCACACATCATATCACATCATAATGTATCATATATTTCCTTATCTGAGTCAGCTTCTTGAGCCGTATCTGGCCGTGCAACACTCACAGTGTCACATACTGTATGCAGAAGTATTATTTTAAGCAACACATTAAGTTGACGAAACACTCGAGTCAAATTCTCCTAATTAAAGTCAGATCCACTCGTGTCTTGGACGGGGCAGTGATTTCATAAACCTGTTAATGTACGCATTCAAACACTTTTTCTTTTACCAGCTGTATTCACCTTGCAGGTGCAGCTATGTGGCTTTTATCCTGGATAAAGTGTTTAAGTCATGGATGTTTAAAGTTTAACTTCTTCATATTTGACTAATATTAAAGTTCACTTTTCATTCAGGAAGTATGACGCTGCGCTGTCAGTACGCTTGTCCGTGTTTGAGATTGGTCAAATGCTCCAAATACCACCCCTTTCATGTGAACGCGCACCTAACTAGATAGGACACGGCTGGCTTGAGCGATCCACTTGATAACCAGCGTCGTAGTACAGTTTAGCCAGAGCGCGTATGTTTTGGATTGGGCCAACCGGCTAACTCAAACATATCCAGGTTAGGTTGAACCAGCTTCGTAGTACAGGCCTCAGGTATTATATATATATATATATATATATATATATATATATATATATATATATATATATATATATATATATATATATACACATATGACGGATGGAATATTAGTATTAAATATGAAATATTGAACAGATTATATAAATGTAAAATGTTCAATGTGGTTTTATTCCAAGAAGCTGATCTCTCTCCTTATGAGGACACACTTAAACCATAACCGGGTTGTGCCTGGCAGGCATACAAGTAGAAGTATAAACATCGGCAGGGAGGCTGGACTTGGGTTGGAGATAGGGGGATAAAACACACAGCTGCACTAACCAAATCCATATGCATGGAGGGGGCCAAGGTGGAAACTTATGTAATGTATTATGCAAGAAAGAGGTAAAAACTTAACGTACAATGGTTGCATAATGGAAGCATGACACCTTCCAGTCCAAAGAAAGAGTCACCAGGGACACAAGGTCACATTGAGGCCCCATAGTATTTGTATAGGTGCTACAGTATGGACAGTAAATGGAATTCCACAATCTATATAGCATTTGAACTATAGTTTTTTAATTTTTTGTTTATTTAATCGTTTATTTAGCAGGGACAATGCACAGTAATGAACACTTAAAACATTAAAATGTGTCAAGCGTAACATTACATTTGACAAACATAGCAAAAACAAAATACATGAAATGCAAAAAGTGCAAAAGAGCAAGAGCAGCATACACAAGTATTTATGACATGGTAATACAATATAGCAGCAACGACATATAAAGTGCAAGAGAAGATACAAGAGATGCAAAAAGTGCAAGAGGAGATACCCCTGTGTTAAAGTGCATTTAGCGGTGATTACACGTCTGTTTGTTTCTCAACCATTCTTTGAGTTGACCTTTGAAGCTATCGAGAGTGGGACAATCCCGTATCTCAGTTGGGAGGCTATTCCAGAATGAGCTGCCCTTGATTGAAAGTACATTTTGTCCAAAAGTGGTCCGTCTACGGTGGACTTCAGTCTCCTCTGGTTTCTGACCTAGTGCAGCATCCAGTGTCTTTTTTGTGGATGAATTCCCCTAAGGCATTAAGTTGCCATTGTCCATAGCATTCCTGTTTATATAAATGAGGTACACTAGAACATAATTCACATTGAAAGAAAGACATCCACACATAATCTGTCTTTGATTACATTTCTTTTGGAGCATTTATGAAGGGTAAAAGAACAGGGAGGCGTTTTCTTTGCAGGGTCATGTTACAATGGGAGATGTGTGTCAAAGAAGGTCAATACACTACAGGACAAACATCCATGGAAACAGATCCATGTAATAGCTGTTGGTTTTGATGCATTCAAGAACTGCTCCAAAGTATTTGTCCCTAAGATAGAGCATCATAAATCACAAGAAGAAGGAACTTAAAAACATTTTTAATGGATGTGGGGGAGGGTTACATATGTGCTTTTCTGCCAAGCTTTCTGAAATAAATAAGACAGATCTACAAGAGAAAGCACACACACTAGGAGAATGCTGCAGCTGTTCTTTTGTTTTGATATATTTTAGAGTAAATGTTTAAGTCACTTTAGAAAGCAGTATTGTATTGATACTGAGCAGAGTATCCTGCTGAGGTAGAGAGTTTTTTAAAACTGAGGGATGAAATGTGATGTGGTAGAAGGAGTCCGTTAGAAGAAAGCCTCTGTCATCTATCTGCTCAGGTAAAGCCTTAAATTGAAAAGTGCACATACATACATAATACATAATAAAAAGCACATCAATAAAACCACATAAGTGGCTTGAATTGGTTTCATTAGGTCTTTGAAAGTCGGCCAAATATATAATGCATACAGAGTGGAAGCAATACAAATGTGTTTTGCAGGAAGCATGCTTTTCTGTTGTGCAAGAAGCCAGTGTTAATGGGCAGGTAGTGCCTCAAATGCACATTATTTCCGGACAGTTTAAAATGTTCCATGTTGCTTTGCTAACCTCTTTTTAGCAACCCTTTGCAACAGTTATTGCTGTCAAACAGCCCAGCCCACGTGAATTGTCAACGGGGGGTGCTAGTGCATTGTCAAGGGGGGGGGTGCTATTGAACTGTCAACGGGGGGAGAGCCTCGCTGCGGGGAAACGGTGGACCTCTGTCGCGCAACTTCAATGATGCCGTTTAAAAACATAACAAATTAAGGGCGGTGCCGGGGCCGTATCAGCGAACCGAGCAGCGGCCGTTCTGTGATTCTCCAGATTCTACAGCCCCTGGAAGCAGTAGTGGTGGTGGTGGTTAGAAATACTTAATTGAGAGTGCATTCACTAACATTCTCAAGTGAAAGCCCAGCAGGAAGCTACATGCACTTTAAACTAAATGCATGCCTTCTCTTATGCAAAAAGAAGTGAGTGTAAAAGTTGTGCAAGAACGCTGCCTCACAATTGCAAACGTCCTTACTTTACTTTTCTTGAACACTTGAACTTGCACTTCTGAGTCTTATCACTCCGACCTTCAGGAGCAGTGTTTCCTGTGAGTAAACCGTTATGCCTCGCAATGCAAATTACCTCTGTTGTCCTTGGTGTACTTCAACTGGAGACCCTTACCTGCTCATGTTTACTTTCGGTTGGTTCTCCTTCAGGTTGAGGGTGTGTTGCTTTTGGCTCTGGTGGTGCTGAGCTGCTGGTGTCGCTGGTACAGGAGCCTCAACTTGCTCTTAAAGTCCCGCAGTGTCAGCAAAAGCGAAGCGTCAAATCCTCCAGGTATCCTGAGTATATTGCTCTATGGGCGTGTTGGAGGAGAGGCTTTTTGGGGGAGTTTCTCGGCGCGCCAACGCAGTCGCAGCCTTGTTCTGAGGTAATGTCATAAAATACCACGCAATATTTAGCCAACACAAGGAAGTCTACTGTATTGAGAGGCTAGGCTACTCCCATTTCCTTGTAAAATAACTGATGTATTGTGAAATATATAATTTATTGACTTTGTTGCTTTCCAACACTGTTGAGGACTACGTCTCTCATTCTCTTTCATTTATGACCGACCTGAAAAAATGTCTTTCCCACAGGCAGTGTTACATCAACAGTACAGGATGTTTATATAACCTAAAGTACTGTATAGTCAACAGAGAGGACTTACTTTTGCTTTCAAAATCTGAAGAATAAAAAAACTATATTCCCTGATTCTGAACAGCCGACAACATGCATAACTGCCTTAATAATCATGATTCTTATAACTTTTTACTGTATATATTTGTATTGTACATTATCCTTACTAGAATACAAGTCTTTAAAATGTTATGCTGGTACAAAACGACAACTGCTGCACCCTAATGTATTTTAAGACATTTGACACATATTGGCATCTTTCTTTTAAATTCAACAGGCCACAAGGTGTCAGACACTCACTGGATTGGAAGTGTGGAAATAGTTAGATTGACACAGCACGTAACTTTTGCCATGCAGAGATTATCTCCACAGGGCAGGCACACATATCACAGATTGCACCCAAAGCCTTGGCAGTAAACCGACTCAAGTGTATCAAAAAGGGACAAAACTGAAGACATTGTAGCAAAACAGGTTTAAATTCATTAAGATTCAGATACAAAAGTTTAGTGTTAAAAGTAAAGAAATTAATTTTCAAGAGTAACTACGTTTTTATTTTATTTCATTCAATAATACATTATTGCACGAATCCATGAACATATATATCAGTACCATAAACATTGAGCTTGGTTTAACCAAACGTGAACTAACTGCCTAATTAATTTGATAACACTCTTTGATTAAAAGTTCAGCATAACATGAGTGTTTGTTGAACATAACTTTTGCAATGACAAGAAGAGTGTGTGTCCTCCTCCTGCTCCCCCAGGCCTCCTCTGTAATGAACATCTCCCAAAAACAGGGAAGTTAGCGCCCCCTCCCTCTGCAGTGCAGCTCCTAGCCTGTAATTCCCCTCAGCTCTGACATCTGTAAGCATTTCTCTCAGACCACAGGAGGAAAATAGAAAGTTGGAAGCTACAGGCTGTGATTTGGGTGCGTATAAATAAAGTTGTGAGCGAAGGAGAGGCTGCTAATATGATGGGAGTGCAGTGGGTGGGAGGTCTGGAGCGGCAGGACACCCAAATCATCAAAGACAAGGGACGAGGAGCAGGAGGACAAGTGGAGCCTCTGAGGGTTTTCTGTATAGGACATTTAGATTTAGTCTCTATAATGTTGGTGGCTATTTTGTACATAATGTGCTAGTAAACTTGATTAAGACTTTTATCACATCTTCCTTGATTTGCAACCTTCCTTTGCTGTCTTTAATGTTCACATACATGAGATGTAGCTAATGATAGCTGTGTCCGTCAAATTGACTTTTGCTTGCAGTTGAAATTATTTCTAAAAAGCCTTAGTGTCGGCACACAAACATGTTGGGTTCCTGTTTTAAACCTATACGTATATTTTCTGAATCTACTTGTGTCACTCCTTAATTTAACTTAACACAAGTAGTTCTGTCTAATGCATCCTTACATCAAACTTAATATTTTGTCTTATTATTTTAAGCATACTACTCTGGGATTTAGCATGCCATATATTTGGAAACATGAAATGTGGGCTTTTTAAAAAAGCACTTGCAGTTTCACTATCTGTGATGACAGGCATTATAAGTTGGACCAAGAAGGGTTAAAATGGTTAGCAGAACTTAAAACATATCCATACATTGGCTCAGGCTATGAGGAGTTTCCTGTGGCACTACCCAGGTTGCAAAAGGCTAATATTTAATGAAAGTATTTTCCAAAATCTTCCACCATTTCATCTGCAATAATCCTCAGACTGTGCACAGATTTAGTTGTAATGATCCTGTCCAGCTGCAGGTCTGCACACGGCTCTGTAGTGGTCTGCCTGGGCGGCTCTGCCCTACAACCAAGGGCACACTTACCTAAAAAGATATATGTTCTGTAGTTGGTACAGCAGCAGGCTCACAGCTGGGATGAAAGGAACCGTGTTGCCTCAGACCCGCCCCAGAATCAAAGCTACGAAGCCCCAAATTATTTCTTGGAATGGGTGTAGGTGCAGGCTGCAGCAGAGAAGCAAGAGCCACAGAGAACAGCTCAACATCCCTGATTTCATTTGCTTAAAGGGGATCTGAAAAATGCAGATTTTTAAACCTCATGAAAAAGAGAAATAGAATTTTGTTTTAAATACAATACTGAGTTTACAGTATCTGTTTTATTTACTGAAGATATCAGCAAAAACATGATGTAAGGTTAAAATACTTAACACAACAAAATAAAAATATATGAATAATGTCCAAAAACATGGATTTTGTAACAGTAATGAAATGCAAAAAAAAGCTGAAAAATAAGGATAATAATGACTATCATTGGGAGGTGAATGTTGATTGTCCTTTGTCAAGTGCCTTTTCTTCCTTAAGACACTCAGCCTTTAGCTCCACAGTCTTCTGCTCTCTCTCTACTCTTTCCCGGACAAGATATAATTTAAGCAGTCATCAAATTTCCTTTCAACATAAATACAATAAATAACACCGGAAATGACCCTTATTGCTCAATCCCTCTCTCAACTCTGTTTGTTCCCTTCTTTCTCCATTACAGGTTGTTCAGTCTTTGATCAACTTTTCTAATTTCTACTGACCGTGTCTGGGAGATTGGCTCGTGTAAGCTAAAATAACTTTAATACTGTTACTACAATTAGGGATGCACCAATACAGCACTCACAATACATATTCTAATAAGTATCAAATCAATGTGCTGCTGACTTAAACTAGTATTGGTCATTTTAAGTCACTGGTTCAAAAGTGTTATGTTTTATCCATTGTTTTATGTGAATCTCATACTGGTGGAATGGCCAGAATTTGTAATACCAGCATTTGTACTTGTGCATCTCAAAGAGAAAATCCTTGTGATACTTTCTTTTTCGCTGGTTAAAAATACTTAAGTGTGGGATTGATCTTAGCCAGCTCAAGTTTTCTTTAAGACTTCCTTTATAACTTGGCTCAGATAGTCAACAAATATTTGGAGCTATTATGTCAGCCATCATCTGCTGAAACTAATCAAATACCCTCTTCCGGTGAGTGTGAATGTGTTGACTTTACGACTGATCCGTGTTTGTATTTTGTATTCTTTATTTTCCCTCCCTTTGCCTCCATCTACCAGCTGAACAGTTTCATGAAGTGTTGGAAGCCGTCCTCTCCGAAGAAGTCGAAGGAGCCCTGGGAGGTGCTCAGGTGGATCAGCAGGAGCACGAGCAGCACCACGGCCAGCAGAGGGATCAGCATGTTCCAGCCGGCTGCCAGGATGTTGTACCACTTGGCCTTGTCCGAGCACTCCTGGGCCATCTGCAGGTTGCCCTGAGTCTTCTGGTCCCTGGCCTGCACACACAAAAACACACACACTCACATTATTACATGCAACCACTGGAGTGAGAATAAGAATTAAAGGTCCCCATTATACGGTTTTTCATCAATATATTATAGGTCTCAGATATATACAAAACATGTCTCTGAAGTGTTTGGCTCGAAATACCAAACAGATCATTGCAGCATCCCATAATCCCCTCATAATTCCCCTCCTGTTTCAGAGCTGTTTCAAAAGTGCTGATTCTCTGTCTGTTACTTTAGATGAAAATAAGGAGCCACTCCCCACGCCCCTCTGAGAGATATTTGGTTACAAAGAACACAATGGTGCTCTAGGAGGAAAGTCAGGTGATAAGGTGTGTGTGTTACCTTGGTTGCTGATTGGCTAATGGTTACACAAGCCACAAAATCGTTATGACATCATAAAGTGGCCAAAATCAGCTCATTTTCAGACAGGTTTTTAAATAAATGGACAACAAGTGAGCAAATCTTGTTTTCAGAATCTCTTTATACAGAGGAGACACATGTTTATGTATAAAATACATGAAAAAGTGTTTTTTGCATAATAGGTGACCTTTAAGTTTATTGCAATTTTGCTTCTGGGCATACATGAGCATAGTAAGATCAATTACAATATTAAATAAGAGCCAATATAGAAATATTATTAAAGACAACATTGTAAAAACTCCCATAAATGTGTGAGAAAAATAAAATAAAATTCAATAAAAATATGATAAATAACGGTGAAAGAATATGGACAGTCTATCTGAATTTAGTAGAAGAACTATATCACAAAAACAAAAAAAATGACTATGTTTCATAATAGTCATAAAGACCCTTAAAGACCTAAACTATTTGACTCTCAAATGATTTTAAAACACAATTTATGTACATACATAACAACAGTTTTACGTTGGCATCGACACCCGTCTATTCTGTAAATAGTAAAAGGAGGTCAAACAAAGGCATGTTATAATGTTCAGTTGTGTCTTTGCTTACAACCATTTCATTGCAGCTTGTCCCATAATTCCTAGTTTTCCTGCACTGAGCGCAGATCAAGGTTGAGGGAGGGTGGAGTGATATTAAATCCTTGAGCTGCTCCTACGGTAAAGTGCATCCGTATATTTTAGAACGGATCAGGCGGAGTCCTTCCCTAGCACTCTCTAATTTCCCATGAGTACTTGCCCATTAGGAAGATGCCAATTACACCATTTTTAACTCCCCAGCCGAGCAGCCAGGCACCGTCTTTAATTTGAGCGCTGAGCCAAAGCTAGGCCTGTGATTCAGAGCTGCGCCCTATGCACACAGATGAAAGATTAAAATAAAGACTTCAATAAAGGGTATACACGCCCTTTGGTGGTCAGTTTTTCAGTAAACGTTTTAAAAAGGTAGTCACAGTTTGTTAAAATTCGGAATCTTCTTTTTGGTGAGCAAAGCTTTAGTTTTGATTTACTTTATTGTGTCTCCAAAGCTCCATTCCTGCGGTGAGGGCACACAAACTGTATACAGTCTGCGCCATTGGACCAGGGACAAAAGCAAGTCTCTACAATTTGAACATGTTGCTTTTTACATTTTACAAAAATGATTTTCTTTTTTAACGAGAGCTGGCTGTGTTTAATTTCCCAATGTAGCATTTGCCTATACTGCCCATTATTTTATAGATTTTCTTGCCAACTCGACCCAGCTTTTGTCTATTTCAGAAAAAGAAGGCTTAGTTCTCGTAGATCCTTCCCACTATAAGCAGATAAGGTTGCACCAAATTGTCAATATATTGCATAATGTTAACTTGTTTTTCTAAATCTGTTTTTTGGTCAATTCTAGCATTCTTTGCTGTACCAGTTTATATGGCATTTTTATTTACCAGATTTCCCAAAGTTTATCAGTCAATAAGAATCAATGAATGAGAAAGGCTCATAAGTATATTTCAAAAGACTTTTTAAAAGGTTATTATAACAGTGTCAGATACACGACAGTGAACATTGGCTTGTGTTGTTGGACAGTAAAACACATACGTTAAAAGTATCGTTCAGTCATTGTTTTGACATCTTATTTTCAACATTAAACGTGCAGCCTTATCAGATCTTCTTCCTTTTGACACCTGATTGAATTACTGAGATGTTGCATGATTCATGGAAGTGGTCCAAACTGAAACATGCCTGTAAAGTGTTGCACAAAAGTGTCTCACCTTGATGGAGTAGATGAGAGCCATGAATCCCAGGCAACAGAAGTTAACGTACAAGGTGTTGCACAGCGACCAGACTAGATAGTCCTTGGGAGGACACTTGCCAGCGTTGCCCATGTTCACCACGGTGGAAGCAGCTGGCTTTCGGGCAGATTTACTGTTGGTCAGCGGGGTGCAGTCCGAGGGGAAGTTGTACGAATGGTTGTCCATGGTTGCCGTTTAGATAGAAGATCCCCTGCTGTGTGTGGATAGGTAAAACTGGCAAGCTTTTCAGGAGTTGGTGCACGGTACCTCTTTGGAAAAGTAGTGCCCCCCCTGTATGAGAGGCTTATAAAGGCCCATGAAGAGGGAGGTGACCGTGAGAGAACGCAAGGGCAGGGTCCTTTAATACACAGCAGGTCTGTCATTATGTGGTCTGAGAGAGACTGAAATAGAGGGACAGAAAGCTGCATGAAGGAGAGGACAGAGAAAGAGACTGCGAATAGAAGGGAGCAGTGCGCAGTCTCTTCCAGTAAAGTGTCCATCACCTCGGCTGTCTTTAAAGGTCTGGTTGGTCAGGTGGTTGAGTAAATTGTAGGTAGGGAGGGAGGCCTTCAGGGACCAGTCTGTAATGTGGTCTCTAATGGAACTGAGTGGGTGCAAAAAGGTCATATTTGATAACACATTTCTAAAATATTTGACAATTCCACAAGGTTTTGAGGTTATAAGACCTAAAATAAGGAAATCGTCCAGCTTAAAAACACTTTCTATTTAAGATGAAGCTCAAACAACGAGTTGAATAACAGAAAATACACTTTACTGATAGCTTTGGTCCTTTTCAAGCTTAAATGCCAACCATTCTCTGTTTCCAGCTTCTCAATGGGATGGTTTGCTGCTTCTTATTGTAACATACTCTGTGATAGTTCACAAAATGCTGTGGTTTTTAGACAGCTGGTCAGCAAGTTGAAGGTTAGGTATCACATTAGTATCTAAAATGATGTTAATAGACATTCTTTTATTTTATAGTTATTTTCTTTTAGCTCAAGGCTCAAGGTTTAGTGTAGGACAACAAGGGTTGAAATACATTTTTATTACATACATTTTTTAATAGACATTCTTTTCTTTTATAGTTATTTTTGTATTTATTTTTGTCAGAAGGCAGGATTAGCTCATAGGCCTATTTCATTTTTAAGCAAATAAATTCATTCAGTTACTCACGTTGGAGTTTCCAGAACAACCGCTGGGTATCCCCACGGCAGAACAGAGGTGTTTAGTGGCTTGTTAAAAGGCTTGCCAGTAATTACTCAGATTTCTTTTACAGATTTGCCCAGTGAAACCAGTGGGGTGAGCCATGCAAATATAACTTGCTTTCTGCCTATATGCAACATATGAATTGATTGACACAGATACATAATTGTTAACATAAACATCCTGTTTTGTTTGTTGGTCTATTAATGAACTGACTCGTGCTCCGTGCTAAAGTCTTAGCCATCTTTAATCAAGAGCCTTGTTCGGGTCTTTTACCTTACATGTGGATTTAAACATAGATCACAACTATGTGGCCACACCTTGTGGTAGGAGTGTGTATCTATCTAATCAACACATCCCCCTTTCTTTGAGGTAATATAAACAAATAGTGCAACATCAATTTTAACCAAACATTTTGATTTCCCTACCATGCCATAACAAATAAACATCTGGTCTAAATGTACTCAGAATGCTAACTAGCACAAACTTGGAAATTGTCTAAACATTTACACCATTTTAACATCCATTAAACCAGTCTCTCAATTACAGATTCAGTCTATCAGGTTTTCTGATTTCCCTTGTAGATCTTCTGACCACATGTTCACTTGGAGTGTTAGTATCACAGTCTTTCTGTGGTGAAGGTGTGGACTCAGACTCAATGATGGATTCACTGAGCCGTTGACCAGCCTCTTTTGTTTTCATAAGACTGCGACGATTGCGTCTGAAGATTTGTCCTTCCTCTGTCCTCACAGTGAAGGATCGCGCTGCTACTTCCTGAAGAACAGTGGCTTTTGTTCTCCATCCATCAGGACCCTCAATCCTGACGGTGTCATTACTTGATAGTAATGGAAGCTGCTTAGCTGTTTTGTCATAGCATGTTTTCTGCTTCATCTTTTGTTGTTGTAGTTGGTGTTGCAGCTTTGGGTGTCTCTTTTGCTTTGAATAGCTTGGCAGTGTGGTGCGTAACTTACGATTCATCAGAAGTTCAGCAGGTGACAGTCCACACTCCAGAGGTGAGGCTCTGTAGCTGAGTAAAGTGAGGTATGGGTCTGAGCCACTCTCATCAGCTTTCTTTAGAAGTTGCTTGAGAATGTGAACTCCCTTTTCAGCTTTCCCATTTGACTGTGGATAATGAGGACTTGAGGTCACATGCTTGAAGTCGTACTGTTCTGCAAATTCTTGCCACTCTCTGCTGTTGAAACACGGTCCGTTGTCACTCACTACTGTGTTAGGTATGCCATGTCTGGCAAATATGGATTTTGAATGTGTTATGACACATGTTGATGATGAGTTTGACAGTAGTGCCATTTCAGGAAAGTTTGAGTAATAGTCAATGACCACTAAATAGTCTTTACCTTTGAGATGAAACAAATCCATTCCAACTTTATGCCATGGTGCTGTTGTCAAACTCATCATCAACATGTGTCATAACACATTCAAAATCCATTTTTGAATGTGTTGATTAGATAGATACACACTCCTACCACAAGGTGTGGCCACATAGTTGTGATCTTTGTTTAAATCAACACACATCCTACATGTGAGGGATACAAGATTTTATAGTTAAGTATGTGCATGTTTTGGGTTTAAAAAAAACACAACATTTCAAAACACAATGTACAAATTATTGAATACTGTAATCATCTAAAATTAAACAGAGCACTGGTTTGGTTTGGTTGCCCGTAGTGGGACATGTTCAATGTTGAAATGTGAAACAACACTGCCCCCTGCTGGCAGCTTACTGTATCAGCATCCATACCATGATCCATACTGACTGTAATAGCCATTTGTTCTTCATTTTGAACTAATATAAACACACGTAACATGGGGACATAGAACAGACAATGACAGCCGCAGATTATAGAAACTACAAGTTATCGAAACATGCACGACGAGTGCTAAGTGACACATTTTAACTTTTAACTTGTGTTTTCACCATTAGCGTAAATTATGTATATGACAGAGAGCCAATCTGATTTGTAACACTAGTCAAACCTTGAATAAAATCTAACGCAGTATCTTCGTATTTAACACATTGTGTTAAAAATGTATAAGTGAGTTTGAAAAAAAAATAAAACCTTAGCAGAGGATGGTTTCGATCCATCGACCTCTGGGTTATGGGCCCAGCACGCTTCCGCTGCGCCACTCTGCTGCCTGCCATATTAGTAAACCTTTATAAATATATACTTTCTATATTTGGATTTAAGCAACGATGTGACACAATTCCAGTGAACTATCGTTCTTGTAGAAAATGTATTTTATAGTTACTCGTCCAAGATATGTTTAGCGTAAGCACATAAATGAGTGTCTTCAGTGTCGCTTACATACGATAGGAACTCTGTGTCTCCGTCTCTCAGACTTTGTGAAACCACACTAAAGAAGATATTGCACACATTTAATAACCCATACACAAACTATTCCTACAGCTACAAAAACGTTTTACATTAGCAAATTATGTCACATATAAACTGTAGAACCAAGCACTTACTGGCCGATGGATGAATTATTGTGGCCGATATCAACCTCTTATTATACATCCATGATATCAACCCACTGGTGACGTACCACATCGTGAAAGCACCTGATTGGTTCCTGGTTCTCCGCTCCATATTTCAAACAGGAAGCAATTTAGTGGCGTGCTGTTTTCGCAAAAATGGGCAAAGTACATATAAAAAACAACCCAGCAATCCACAAAAGTTAGCCAAAGATTGGAATTACAAGAAAACAATTAAATAATTGGTCAATCAGGAGTTAAGGTGCAGATAGGTGTATTCATAGAGATAGAGGTCATAAAGTGATACCGTAATACTTATAGAGTTAAAGCCATAAAATACAAAAAACATCTTCACTTTGTGGTTGAGCTAGAAGTAAATCCATATCTAGAGGAGCTGCGTTTTGTGTGTGTGTGTGTGTGTGTGTGTGTGTGTGTGTGTGTGTGTGTGTGTGTGTGTGTGTCTGCATTCCGACCCTTGTCATGTTTTCCGTGTTGTACATGAGATCTGTAGATGAACTGATAAGATGAGTCGAGACCAGATATCAGCAACAAAGATGCAAATGGTTACCCAACCACCAAATGTACAAACCATAGACTGGTACAAACCGAGTCAAAAATGTGCACATGCCTTGAGTAACTGAAAACGAAAACGGAAGGAACATGTTATCATCACCCTATGAAGTTGGTTTGATAAACTTGTTATCAAACCAACTTGGATCCTGTTTGATGAGCTTTCAAGCTTTCAACCACTTGGTGATGTGTTTATAGAGTGAGGTCGTTTTTCTTCGGATCCTTTTGCTAAAAAATTGCTGTACCTGCGAGATGGAACCAGTGGTCGATTTAATATCAAGCATAGTCAAGGGATCCTTTGTAGCCTAAATATAAACATATTGGCATATTTGAACATTGCCTAATGAATCTTAATATGAAATTAAGTTGCTTTATGTTGACATTTTTCAGTTTCAGTAATCGTGCATCTGAGATTGACGTTACAATGTAATGACAAAATGTAGTATGAATAAAACACAATAGAACAATAAAACGACAATAATAAAAAATACCTTTAATTTTCTTCTTGAGCTTTATGGTGCCAGTGCTGTTACCAACACTGTTTTTGGCGATGCGGGTAGCCTATATGTGTGGTTAGTGTTGTAGAGTCACCTTTTCTATGATAGCTGCTCTTGAGACATTGGTCTCTGTAGCTGTCACTGCCACCTGCCTGAGTCACAGAAATCCTTTTAGTTTCCTTGCATCATAAGGAACACTAATCATGCAAACCAACCGAGTCATTATTTTTTACAATGTTACAGAATTATACATTTATACAAAACCCCTTGTGCTGTACAATAAAAAAAACATTGAAAAGGGGACTGCAGTGACTGACTTTTGCCCCTCCATGTGTAGTAGAGTCCTATTCTCCAGGTTGCCACCGTAATTCATGTACCATCGCACTGATAAGGTTTTCTCAGTTTGAAAATCGCCTCACAAAAACATGCTGATAATACTTTAACTCATAATGTCCTAATAAAAGTGGTACTATAATTACATATTAAAGCACATGTGGACACCATTACCAAGC